TTACAATATTACCCCTTCCGTTTCAAGTAAAATTTAACCTTATTGGTGAATGTTCGATTTTCAAGATTGTTAATCCCCTCTTCTATTTTTCTTTTCTTGACCCACAATTTTATTTTTTGTATTTTAAAAAAAGGTCATGACGTTGAAAATTTGAAAAATCATTCTTAGATGCCTAAATAGAAAGAGCTAAGAAAATAAGGCAGAAAACGCATTCGGCGATTGCGATTTATGTATAAGTTTTAGTCTCTTCTTATTTATTGTTGAAATTACAATATTACCATTTTCGTTTCAGGTAAAATTTAACTTTATCGATGAGTGTTCGATTTTTCATATTGTTGATCCCTTCTTCTATTTTACTTTTTTCGACCCACAATTTTATTTTTCGTCTTTTAAAAAAAGGTCATGACTTTAAAAACTTGAAAAATTCTCTTTTTATCCCTAAATAGAAAGAGCTTAGAAAACAAAGCATAAAGCGCATTCGGCAAAAGCGATTTATGTATAAGTTTGAGTCTCTTCTTATTTATTATTTAAATTACATTATTATCCCTTCCATTTAATTTAAAATTTAACTTTATCGGTGAATGTTCGATTTTCCAATTGTTAATCGCCTCTTCTATATATCTTTTCTAGACCCACAATTTTATTTTATGTAATGTAAAAAAAGATCATGACATTAAAAACTTTAAAAACTATTTTTAGATGCCTAAATAGAAAGAGTTGAGAAAATAAGGCATAAAACGCATTTAAGGAATGCGATTTATGTATAAGTTTCAGTCTCTTCGTATTTATTGTTGAAATTACAATATTACCCCTTCCATTTCAAGTAAAATTTAACTTTATTGGTGAATGTTCGATTTTCCAGATTGTTAATTCCTCTTCTATTTTTCTTTTCTCGACCCACAATTTTATTTTTTGTATTTTTTTTTAAAAGTCATGATGTTGAAAACTTGAAAAATCATTCTTCGATGCCTAAATAGAAAGAGCTGAGAAAATAAGGCATAAAACGCATTCGGTGAATGAGATTTATGTATAAGTTTTACTCTCTTCTTATTTATTGTTGAAATTACAATACTACCCCTTTTGTTTCAGGTATAATTTAATTTTATCGGTAAATGTTCGATTTTTCAGATTGTTAATCCCCTCGTCTATTTTTCTATTCTTGACCCACAATTTTATTTTTTATATTTTAAAAAAAATGTCATGACGTTAAAAACTTGAAAAATCGTTCTTAGATGCCTAAATAGAAAGAGCTGATAAAATAAGGCGTAAAACGCATTCAACGAATGCAATTTATGTATACGTTTCAGTCTCTTCTTATTTATTGTTGAAATTATAATATTACCCCATCCATTTCAGGGAAAATTCAACTTTATCGGTGAATGTTCGATTTTCAAGATTGTTAATCCCCTCTTCTATTTTTCTTTTCTCGATCCACAATTTTATTTTTTATATTTTAAAAGAAGGTCATGATGTTGAAAACTTGAAAAACCATTCTTAGATGCCTAAATAAAAAGAGCTGAGAAAATAAGGCATAGAATAAAATAGAACATAAAATAATATATAAAATATAAAATAATAATAAATATAAACATAAAATAAAAAATAAAAATTATTTTAAAAAAATAAAAAATAAAATTCTTGAATGAAACTTAACTAAAACTTATGAGATATACTAATTAATTAATAAAGGAAATATTGGTAAATATGTATATATAAGAGGGATATTTTAGTTTTCAAAAAAATAATTTTCCGTTTCTGCTTTTTTAAGAAGCATAATTTTTTAGCTTCTTCTTAACAGCAGAAAAACTGCTTCTAGTTCCATATAAAAACAGTTTTTAGAATTTGCTAAACACTATATTTTTTTAATAAAAAATAACTTTTTTCACAAAAAAAAAAGGACTTTTGGTCTCCCAACATCAATGTCAAACATAAGCTCTTAATCTCAAATCATATGAGGGCATCTCCAACCCTACACTTTATTTTACTCTCTAAATATAGAGTTCTCTATTTTTTCAGATAACCAACTCCAACCCAATTCTCTATTTTATTCTCTGAAAAAGAATCTTCTTCTCTCTCTTTTCAATATTATATTATTATTTCTATTTCATTTTTATTTTCTTATTTCATAATATAAATCTTTTGTTTCTTTTTCAAATAATCATCCTATATAATTTTCATGATATATAAAATTCAATTTTTTGAAATTTTTTATTTAATATTAAATTATATTTTATTCTAAATTTCTAAAGAACAACTATGAAGAATTGAAAAAAAAAATCGACAAGCACAATCGCAATCACAACCACAACTTCTCTAAATCATACACTACATACTTCATTTTTCGAATATTTTTAAATCTAGAAATGAACTATCGGATTACTAAATTATTGTTATGGTTTTTAAAATTATTATGTTATGTATTGTATTGTTATCTTGTATTTTAATTATTGTGTTATGTATTGTATTTTTAAATTAAAATTTGTATCTTATCATTTAAATTTTGTGCATTTTTCATAGTGAAAATTAATAATAACATCAAATTGTATCACAAAGTGATGAAACTTCAAAAAAATTAAAATATTATTAATTCAAGATGAAAGTAGTATATATTAAATAATATTTTAAAAGAATTATGAATATTAGAGATTTAATTAATAATCTTATATGAAAAATAATATGTCAATTACAAAATAATAATATAATATTCAAAAAGTGAAATAGAGAGTATGAATAGTAGTTCTCCAAATTTGGAGAACTACTATTCAATTCTCCATAATTGGAGAGTAGAGGATAAATTAATAGAGAGTGTTTGGAGAGTGCATTTTCTATTTTACTCTCCAAATATAGAGAATGGAGACTAAAATAGAGTAGGATTGGAGATGGTCTGACATACTTTCCTTTTTAGTATATCACATAAAGAATGTCATATTTTATAAATGGAAATAAATATTATTTTTTTTAGTGAAATTACTCATAGTTAGAATATCTAAGATTTATTTTAGACCACAAATTCTAAAAGTATTCTCTTTTTAAAAGTTTTTTGTGTTAAATTAAACGATACCACATAAATTGAGTATATAGTACGACATTTTGTCATATGATTTGAATTGATACCTGAAGGAATGCTCAGCAAAGTTTTTTCATTTTTGTTGATCCTTGCTCTTTAGGCAGTCCAAAAGTAATAATTCAAATATTTATCCAATGTAACATGTTAAAGAAGCTATGAACATTGCTTTGCTAATAAAAAAATGAAAATCCGTCGATTCTCTCTGCATTGAAAAAGTAATAATTCAAACAATTTTGATCCAATAGATTACTAGTAGTCTTTATTAATTCGTAAAAGTATTTCTTTTCAATTTATTTGTTTTATGAAAAATATCTTTTTTTAATAACTACTTAATTCTAATTTTCCACCTAACATACTTTAAAACAACAAAATTGAAAAATAATTTTATATATTATAAGTACATTTTAGTTTAAAGATAATAATATTCAATTTATTTTCCTTTAAAATTTTAATAACTTCTCAAACAGTTTTAAATCAACTTGAAAATCAATGAAATACAACTATCTTTAATCCCTACCATCAATCCACATAATACAGCTATTCCTTTCAAGATTATACTCCTAGTCTAGAAAGCTAAACAAACTTCCAAATAGCATAAGCTTTAATAGCAACAATGCGGTCCTCTGTATAGGAATAGAATTGGTCTTATTTTTTACATTTTGTTCTCCAATATCAAAAGTATTTTGGATTTTTTTATTTTCTTATTTGCTTCGACCTCCTCAAATTTTCTCTTATTTTTTTTAGCATTTCAGTTCAGGAACATTAACATAAATATACAAATTACATCTTGGGCAATAGTCCTAGTGATCTGATTAAGACCTATTTGGTAGATTATGATGCCATCTTGAATCTCATCAAGGCTAATCTGGATCGAGCACAAACACGAATTTGCCTAATGAAGCACATATACACCAATATTTCATATTTATTTACTCAAGCGTTGTATTGGATAACTTGTTGATCAACAAAATGCATGTCTCACTTCAACTCACTGGCTCGGTCGACTTGGGTCGGGACTCATCTTTTAACTTTGAGAACAAAATTCTTTCACAGGACAAAGGTATAGTTGTGACCCATACAACTAATGTAGAGGACACCTCACGTACTGACATGGACACACATACTCAGCAAGGGTTGAAATTAGAGCAAAAAACACAAATCCTACTAGTTTAGGGGTCTAATTACACAACTTCACTTTTGTTTTCAAAATTACCTTCCGTACTTCACCATATACATATATCTTCGATACATGCGAGTCAAACTAGGTGTAATTTGTTTTAGATGAACTGTATCCAATCATGATACACATATATCTAGGATGCAATATCCCTTTCCCATCTCACTCTCCTCGCTCTCCATAAATCCGTATTTCAGAATGTATCTGATATCAAAGAAACATATATTTAGTATCTTTGATACATGTACATGAGTCTAAAAGATTTTATTAATTAGTGGAATAATATGTATATGTTAAATTATAAAGTGGATTAGTATTGATGATAGGAATGTTTGTGTAATAATTAGGACAAATTACTAAACTACACTCTTTTACTTACCTTAATATCCATTTATCCCTACTTATTTCAAAAATTTCAAAAATTCCTTATTTACCTATGTATCCCGCATGTATCCCGTGCACAACGCTATGTATCCCGCTATGTGAAATGTATCAAACGCTATGTATCTCGTGCACAACACTATGTATCCTGTGCACAACGCTATGTATCCCGCTATGTGGAATGTATCAAATCTAATGTATCCCGTGCACAACGCTATGTATCCCGCTATGTGGAATGTATCAAACCTAATGTATCTCGTGCATAACGCTATCAAACATCATTTTTAACTAGTTTGTGAGTGTTGGGCCAAAATTCATTTGGTTAATACGTTGAGAGTCGGCCCAAATGACTGCATAGACATATTAGCAATTTTCCCGTTTCTTCTTCTTCCTCTCCAAGCGGGAAACAGCACTCTGAGAAAACAAAGAGAACAGCTATGGCGCCAGTTATGCAAAGCTCTCAGCCATGGGTCGAGAAATAGTAACCTTTCAATTAACTTAACTCCTCTTTCCTAAGCAAAGCTCTCAGCCATGGATATGTAACTTTTAGATTTTTGCAGTCGACCGAAGAAAGTGAAGGATGTAGCTCACCAGGATGAGGTCGTTCGAGTCCTCACCAACACTCTCGAGACCTCTAACGTAAACCATCACTTTCATTTGATTGATTTATTGCTAAGCACATTAAACACTTACTCCTAGGGTTTTCTTAAATTTCCTGTTGAGAATACAAAATTCAGCATCCTTTACTTTACTGTGAAGAAACATCAGTAACTAAGTTGTTATCACTTTTTTATTTCTTATAGTGCCCGCATATGTTGTTTTATGGTCCTCCTGGAACTGGAAAGACGACCACTGCTCTTGCCATTGCCCATCAGCTTTTCGGGTATGTTTTTAAGTCATATGTGGATTTTACTTGGGGTTCGCCGTAGTTGATGTTAATTTCATTTAGAAATTTGTAGTTTTAGTGGAGTTAATTATGTATAAGTTTCTATTGATGTGATTCCTGAAAAACAATTTCTATTTTAGTAAAAAAAAGTGTTTCTATATGTTAATTTCATGGGAATTTGTAGTTTGGTGGAATTGATTATGAATAAGTCTGTATAAATATGATTCCTGAAAATCCCTTTCAGTTGCCCAATGACTTATAATGCTAGTCGCTATCCAATTGGGGCTAGGAGTTTCTATCTTACACTGTTTCTAGCTTAGCAAAGAAAAGTAATTTCGTTCTTCTGCTAAAAGTTGATTCGAAATTCAAGTGTAAAGAGGAATAAGACTTGAACTTTTGAAAAAAGTTTACTACTGTTGGAGCAATTTAAACCCTCCTTTTGTTTTAAAAGAATGATATTGAGTAATAACGGAACTTTGGGACATCTGTTTTCTTTACACTCTTTTTATTCTTGAAATTGAAAGGACTTATAGTCTTAAACAGCAAGCTGCCTTGCTTCAAATTTTAGGACCTGTATTCAAGTCCTAGCGTTTCTTCTAGTTGCTGCTAGTTTGGTGTCTTGACCTAGTCATGTTTCTACATACACGTTCTCTCTATGATTCATAGACAGACAACTAGGATCGTGTTGTTAAATGCATTTGGATAAGAAAATGTATTTACTTCCTTCATCCTTGATTCTATGTCCATATGCTGTTTAAGATTTTCTCTGACAAAAGAGAAATCATATCATCAAACTTGGGCCTTGTGAGTTTCTGCTGTTTGATTGTTACCTTTTTCCTACCTTACTTTCTGTATGTATATATTTCATCTTCCAATGAATTCTTCTTTGACAGACCTGAGCTGTATAAGTCGAGGGTATTGGAGCTAAATGCTAGTGATGACCGTGGTATCAATGTAGTTCGCACAAAAATTAAGAACTTTGCTGCTGTTGCTGTAGGTTCTAATCGTCAAAGGTATACTTTTGTCTTGTCTAGCTCAATTTTTAATGCATTTTAAGCCTCTCTTTTACTTCAATGTTTAACAGCATATCTTCCTTACTCATTTCAGTGGTTATCCTTGCCCACCTTTTAAGATCATAATCCTTGATGAAGCAGATTCAATGACTCAAGATGCTCAAGTGAGTTGCCTTACTTGTTTTTACTAATAAACTACATAAATTTGACCTAACACTTGGATTTGCAGAATGCCTTGCGACGAACTATGGAGACATATTCAAAAGTTACAAGATTCTTCTTCATTTGTAATTACATCAGCAGGTTTATTGTCATTCTGCCTTTTTTTCTAATCTATTTTATTTCGATTTCCTTTGCTCTTCGTACAGGTTTGTTTGTAAATCACAACGCATTAATTAGTTTTTTTCCACGTAAATTCATTATTCTGCCCTTGAAAATCAGCTTTACTGTTTCTTTGAAATTGTTTTCGTTGATGGAAGAAAATCAAATATAAAGAAGGGTTGTATATTCTATGGTCTGCAACTGTAGTATTGGCGTCAGATTGCCAAAATCTTAAATAATTAAATAATTCTGGAATCTGATTTAAGCCTTCTCGTCAGTTCCATATAGCAAGTAGATGGGAGTTTTATCTTTAAATGATCCTTGAATAGTTGTGGTGAAACTCAATTGAGTTTTGCTCTTTCAAGTTTTAGCTATTTTCCCCCCTTTTCTCTTCTAGGTATAGGAAAGCTGAAACAAGCTCAGTGATGAAAGTCGATTATGTGGCTAAGTGGAAGTAGTGCTTCGTTTCAGACTTATCTGTCCACGAAATCAACCTTGTATTTTCACTTGAAATGCATGTCGCCTATTTACAACATTTAATGAAATTATTTTACAAACAAAACTTGGCTAATCCTTTTTTTGGTTTATTTGTTTGTGGCATTGTGGTGTGAGAATTACCGGAGACATTAAATAGTTCAACTGTGATATGAATTTTGGTGGGTAAGTGCCAGTTTACATGTGCAATTGGTTTCATCCGCTCTCTTTGTTTACATATTTGTGCCTTTGGCTTGCTTTTTATTCAGTTTGATCTTCTTTAAGCTTTTGAATGGTATGTGTGAAAATAGTTTGGAGTAGGAACAGAATTGTTTCACTCTAAAGATAGGATAATTTTATCATGATGAATCTGAGATACTAAGGGCTAGTTACGACATTGTTTTCTATTCTATTCTATGGTATTATAGAGCACCAGTATGTGTAGGAGAAATAAACTCATTACTCATAGGTAGTGCAACCAAAGATCACTTTTTGGGCTTGAGAAACTATGAACCTGAAGCTGTTTCAAGATGCCACTGCTGTCATGAGTGGAATCTCTTGCCATAAGTTTCGGATTTTCTAGATGGGAAAAAGGTGCATCTATGATTTGACTTATCTAGCTATTACCATATATGTTTGCTTGGAATAAATGCAAGATTTAAGATGAATGCCTGGGAAAAGTCATTTTGTTGACTTTTGGGGTAAGGTCTGCATAAACTCTACCCTCCCCAGACCGCATATGTAAGAATACACTGGGTATATTGTTGTTGTTGTTGCTTGGCAAAAGTCATTTTTGCTGAAAGAAAAATCATTATGGTTTTTTGATGATTGACATTTGTGCACATTTTGTGGTTAACTTAAAAGATCTTTCAAGTTTTCTGTTGAATGTGCTTAAGCTTTAAGGTGGAGTAGGGAAGATAATGATAAATATATCTTTGGTTTAGGATCATAGAGCCACTTGCTTCCAGATGTGCGAAGTTTAGATTCAAGCCACTTCCTGAAGAAATAATGGGCAGCCGAATATTGCATATTTGTAAAGAGGAAGGTCTTAATCTAGATTCAGAGGTGTGTGGATATAGTAACTTGATTCCTCGTTTGTAAAAGCTGTTTGCTTCATTCATTTAATTGATGGTTCAATTGTCACTTTGGAATTAAGCTATATATAGGAGTGTGTCATCTGATTGCAGGCTCTTTCTACCCTCAGTTCCATTTCTCAAGGTGATTTGCGAAGGGCTATTACATACTTACAAGTAAGATGAATTTTCTGCCTTCTACATTTTTAAGTATTAGGAAAAGAAGCTAAAAGAGTTGCTAGTTGGCTCAGCACAAGGAAAGAGAACACCTATAAAAAAGAACCATTCTTCATGAATCAGAGGAAAAGATTTCTCTGCTTCGATTTATCTAAATATAATCTGGTTAGTTCTAGATTATATCGTTGGATTATGCAGTGGAAAGAACAAGGATAAGAACTATATATGCAGTTCTAGCTATCTTCCCTGAGATGAAAAAATATGTAGGACTGAAGAAGTAAAGGAGTAATCACATTTATTGATGATTGGAAAAAAAGGTGAGAGTGGAACATCATACCCATAATCAATATCATAGAGACACTTGTTCAGCTATGAGATGCTACTGCTGCTGCTGCAATTTCAGTTCATTCAAGAATGAAAATGAAGCTTCCCCTATTGTTTTGTGGAATGAATAAATATTATGCAATTTCAAGCCTCCGCGTTCTTGGCATCTTTTACTTCCTGACTATATTATCAACCATTGAAAATTGATTGGTAACATTTTGAATTGCTGCAGAGTGCTGCTCGGTTATTTGGATCTTCCATATCAGCAAAGGAACTGATTAGTGTGTCTGGGGTAAGTTCATATCTGGTTATGTATTGTTAGTTTGATAGTGCTTTTAGACCAACTAGGGGATCATCATTAAACTTTCACATGATCAATGCGTTCATCTATTAAATTTTTTTGGACGGAAAATTGTTGATTTATGGATCGGGCCTTTTCTTTACCTTGATGTATATAATACTTGGAGCCTGTTTGGATGGGCTTTGGCTTATGACTTTATAGCCAAAAGCCAAAGAAAATTCTAACTTATGGCTTTGATTGGTTTTGGCTTAAAAATAAGTGCTTATAAGCACTTCTTTTATTTTACCCAAAACACTTTTTTATTTTACCCAAACACTAAAAAACTGCTTAAAAGCTATTTTTGCTTAAAAGCACCTAAAATAAGCCAATCCAAACAGGCTATTAATGTAGCAGTATATAGATGTTTAAGACATTCTCCTTATTAATACTGTACGTTTTTATGTGTGGTTCTAATTTATTCCTTTTATTTCCAATGAAGGCTATTATAAATTTCACCATTTTATTTGGCATCTGAGCCTTTGATAATTGGGCTATGCTGATGTGCTTAATCTGAGAGTTTATTTACCAATTTTAGGAGTAGTAGTAGTTAAAACCAAGGAAAAGAAGAGAAAATGTTTTGGAATGTCTTGCTTGACTAGTCATGCTCGGAGGATAAGATAATGTCTTTAAATGTCTTAAAATGAGAAAGCAAGCATAAAATCCTTCTGATTGGTGTCAATAATTATGGATTCTTAACTGAAAATATAAAGATTCTAATATAGAACCTGGACAACTTTTTTTTTTTTTGATAAAGGTAATGTTGTATTCATCAGCATTAAGGATATGCTGGAGACCTCCAAAAATTGGTTTCCAACAAGAGAAAAAACAAAACAGGCAAATAGAACCTGGACAACTTATTAACAATGTTCTTCAAATTGGAGCATGCATACTGTATGCTCGTTACTTATTTCAAATATAATCACTCGTGGAGTTGGACGGTGATTTTGCAAACATCTGTTATTATTTGAGTTGACAACTTGTAGCCATACATTCATATTCAATCTTTTTTCATAAAATTGATGAAGTAAGTTGTACTGAAAAGCATCAAGAAAGATGCATAAAGCTTTACAAAGAAAGGTTAAAGCTCCTTACACTGCAAAAAACTATTAGAAGCTGGGAGCTTGAAACCATGAGAAAAAATTTAAGGCTGCTAAGCCACTGAGAGGGAGCTAATAAATTCTAAAAGGTCATAGCATCATTAACGGGGGATAATTTGCTCCAACTAAAAAGGTTAACTAAACACTTGGTTTTTAGAGCACAGTTAGGAGTTGAAGTCCCATCAAAGTATCTACTGTTCCTTTTTGTCCATGAACACCATAAAATACATGCTGGGATCATTTGCCAGATATTCTTGATGACTCTATCTACTTTCCATAAGATCCAACTTTCAACTGCTCCTTTTAAGCTGTTTGGGGTTGTCCAACTGATTTCAGATATTGCTGTTAACATGTGCTATGGTCTGCTGTAACAGGGCAGTGCCAAAAAAAAAAGTTAAATGACTCATGAGTCTTTTTGGCACATATAACATCTGTTCATCAGCGAGATCCTTTTTTTTTTTTTTAAGATTATCCTGAGTTAGTATGGCATCTTTGAGAGCTGTCCAAGTAAAACACTTGACTTTGGTGCGTAGTTTTGTCTTCCATATCAGTTTCCAAGGCCAAGGACCAGTCAAAACATTGACAGCATTCGTACTACTATAACCTGCCTTCACTAAAAACACTTCTTTGCTTGAATTTCCCCATTTCCGGCTGTTTGATGTTTGAGAATTCACTGGAAGACCTTCCAAAGATGATTAGATTGGTACTAGGATTTTGCTATGGTTTTGGTATGTGTAGATATAGAATTCAACTTAATATATTTATCATTACATATAATTCAATTTATGCAGATCAGTGAGTTCTTCCAGTTCCCAATCCTGAAAGTTTTTTCTAAAGCGAATATCCCAAATGTTTCCATCCATGTTGCTTGCAACTGTGGAGTCTGGTTCTGCTTCTACGAGGAAGAGTCTAGATGGAAGTCTTTTAGAAGAATATTAAACAACCATTTGTTTTTCCAAAACTTAACAGAGGTGCCATTCCCAATCCTAAAGGATATTTCTTGAAAGAATCATCCTTTAGATTATTGATGTACTTCCATGTCTGTGAAAGTGACAACCTGCTTTTATGTGCTTCTTTCTTTGATGAAAAATAAAAAATCTTAAGATATATGTAATGTAACTTGATTTCACGAAAACAGTTTCATTTATTCATTCTAATAGATTTCAACTATTGCTGCAATTGTTTTGACATATAAGCTCACATCTGAAGTCATGGTCAATACTGTACTTTTGGTTTATAACTGAGAAATTGTCTGAGTTAGCTGGTCCAATTCCAAGTTTGTAGGCTTATTCAACACTTGGGGGAGTATAAGCCCACCCATCTGCCCTATTCGCACTTAAATACTAGGGTTCTACACTTGTTTTAGCAACTGACGTGCAATTACTATGATCAGGTCATCCCAAATGAAGTTGTTCAGGCTATATTCTCAGCTTGCAGAAGTGGCAATTTTGACTTGGCAAACAAAGAAGTGAACAATGTCATTGCAGAAGGATATCCTGTTTCTCAGATGCTGTCTCAGGTCCCAATATCTGTGTATCATCTCATTTTTCATTCAACCATGCTAGCATTTTGTACTAACATGCTGCTGCTTCTTTCAGTTGTATGATATAGTAGTTGATGCAGACGACATTTCTGATGAACAGAAAGCAAGAATATGCAAGAAATTTGCTGAAGCAGACAAGGTTATTCCTCTTCTTCAGCTTACTCTAATAGTATTGTTGTTAGAGTGATTATTACTGTTTATACTCCATTGTGTTTTATTTTTTATTTCCTCCATCTCTGAAAGAATGATGGGGTTAGAACTACGAGGGTCCCAACATATAGTTCTCTGCATCAATTAGTACATTGATTTCTTAATTTGTAGTAAAAAATACAACTTGTTGTGACTCTTTAAATGACAACAATGTCATACAAAAATGAGACGTGAGTATTAGTTATGGTTATTTTTTTTCTTTTCCAGGGAACTAGAGTACTGACTAATGAATAGCTGTGTGCTGTGAATTCTGTATTAATAATAGTGTCATCTGAAATTCTCCCCTAGGATTGGAGTTCAGCTTAGTGCAGTAATGTATCAGCACCATAGAATTGACTGTTTCCGGCACAGTTAGCTGACAATGATGTGCTTATGTTTTCTTTTTTCTGCAGTGTCTTGTTGACGGAGCGGATGAGTATTTGCAACTTTTGAATGTTGCAAGCAGCACAATGCAAGCGCTTAGCAACATGCCACAGGACATGGCATTTTGAATTTGTATTCCTCTTATCAAAACTTCTTGCTAAGTCAACATTAATCGACGGCTTATTTGGTTTATTGGAAAGTCTGCTTTCTAGTCTTTCTTACTTCTTTGCCTCATAAATGTGTCTACTTAGATAACGGCTTATATATGCATTTCATCTTTCATCTTCATCTTCATCTTCACTATATATGTTATATAGCAAGAATTGTGTTAGGAGGAAAAGTACAAGTATAAGTTTGACCCGACCCGCTATGGGAGTTGCCTCAGATCGGTGCTTTCCGTCTCCATTGCTGAAGCAAGCAATGGAGAAGAATACGAAGAAGAAGAGTCATAAGAATGGACCCGAACCGGGACCGGATTACTTGTCGGATCTAGAGACAGTGTCGATGGTCAGTGTCTAGCCGGAAGTCAATTTCTCCTTTTCATGATTCACTTTCCTCTTCGTTTTCGTCACGTGAGTCGTGGCCAAGACGACCAGCGAGCAATGCTGATTGGGTTGGCTTTGCTCTGTTTTAGAGCCAACACAGTTTTTACTATTTCTTTTGCGTCTACATTTCCTAAAATAGTTATTCGCTCTCTCTGTTTCAATTTTCGTGACATAATTTTGATTTGAGAATCTTAGTAGCTGTTTGTTTTACTCCGCAATAAGAGGTGCCCCAATTTTATTTTATTTTATAATCGAGAAATTCGTTTGTGACCCGCTCTTTGGACCAATCACAGCCTTCTAAACTCGGTGGATAATGAGGCCGCCCCTCTACCCTTCTCCACTTAAATGCCGGGCTTCGCTTTGCATGGCGTGGGGCTTGAACCCCAGCTTAATGATTTTAATGGGCGACTGGCATGTCAAGGATATTCTACTATCAACATTATTGCAAAGTCAACATATCTCAAATAATTTTATAAAAAGTCAATAGTTTTTACTCTTTTAGGACTGTGGAGCTCAATATTTGATCATCAATCAGAACTTTTTTTGTCGCTACATTTGAAATGGAAATGTGCAACTAATCTACATATCACATATTGCACTTTACTATGGAACAAAAATCCGGGGAGCTTGTCGAAGGGTCAGGACTGTCTACCAACAAAACTTGGTAATCTGAAATGGAAGAAAATCAAACCAACTGCACAAGGCAAATTGGACAAGACCATGATTAAATAAGGTCTAGTGTCTATAATCTTTTGACTAACTTTTTATCAATGAATGATTTTATACTAGGAGTGACAAACGAGCGGGTCGAGCCGAATATGAGTCGATCGAAAACAAGTTAAATAAAAATGGGTAAAATACTCTACTCATATTTTAAATGGATAAAAACAAGTTACACAATGGATAATATAGATATCCATATTTACCCATATTATTCCATGAATCAAGTTTCTCGCATGCTCAATGAGCTCCAAAATGACCAAGTTAAAGACATTAAATGATCAATTTGGATAATGAAGATGATACTCGTTACAATTTGGTCACATTTGTGGACTTGGTGATCACAAGTGTTAGAATTAAATAACTAAATCAGACAATTGTGACTGGAACACTTGTCAAATGACAATTAAGTCTGCCTAATCCACCAAAATTGTTATTGAAAAAAAGAGACACATTTGTGAACTTTACAGAAAGTTGTTTTGTTTTCTACTCAATCAAACTCAATTGTTTGCATCAATGTAGTCTCTTGTGTGTTACTACATGACAAGTTTCTAACAGTTAACACTTCTTCCATCTTATGTCATGACCTCTAAAGCCTCTATAGTTTGTCCAAGTACGTTAAATATTGTTGCTGCAATATGAGATGGTGTTAATCCAGCTTCCGCCAACTGATCAACTGGAGATCCATGGTTAATTGCTCGGCAGCATGTTAACTCTAAAAAGACGAAGATGCTGCACCCACAAGGCGACCACTTCCAACAAAATTTCCACAAACTCTCAGTGATTTCTGCTATTGTGGATTGTCCTTTGAGATGCGATGATCTGACACAAAAAGAAAAAAAATAAAAAAAATCGTAGGTATGCATAAATTTTTAGATAGCTAATATACGCATATGCAGGATATCGAAAAACTGAATTCGCTTTCCCACTTTTCTCTCTCACACACACTCAGAGTTTAGAGAACTACTACCATGCAGCTCCAGATCCATTTCCATTGAAAATTGACTCAATGTTATAAATACAGACATACTCTGGATGTGCCGCTATTAGAAAAGACGACAATCACCTTGGTCAAAAACAAATACACCTACCTTCTCAAAAAAAAAAAACAAATACACCTAAAGAGCACCTTATTCCAAAATGATCAAACAAATCTCAATGTTCTGCTATTAAAAAAAAAGAAGAAGATGGATTTTGGAGAGTTGACATCTCCTCAATGAAGAATCTATACCAAACATGCTCACTACTTCACTAATTGTAACTTGGGGAGCGATCTGCTAAATCACTCTGTCGAATTCGGAAAGATCCAGATCGAGTACATTGTAACCAGACTAGCAATTAGAGGCAAAGAGTGTATTTAAGACAACAAAAAAAAGCAACAGTGATCAAGAATTGATGGTTCATTACACATTCTAATAAATGTGAAGTTACATATCTAAGTTCAGAATGATGAGAACAGTTGATAATAAACTGTCATCAACAACAGAGAGTACTAAGAACAATATAAAAGAAAGGCAAAAAAATGTGAGTTGCTCTCAAATCTTACCTCTAAGTTTATCAACATGAGGTTGAAGGTCAACAACAATCTCATCTTCATCAGAATCTGATTCGAATCCATCAAGATCTTAAACAGTTTTTAAAAAAACAAGTCATTACAGTTCTAAATGCAAATTCACTAAATAAAATGAAACAAATGAAACTAGAGAAGATAAATTTACCTTCTTGTCCACAAATCCAATCCCTTGTACATAGTTTCGCCTCAACATTTGCAGGAAGAATAGAACTTCAAAACTTTCCAAGGACACGACCTCCGGTGCTAAATGCAGATTCAGAGCCAGCAAATTTTTATAGTATTACATTATATAAGTTAAATCCCTTGTGTTTTAATAAGATCAAAATCCATAAAAAGCTAAGTTGTGCAGACTCTTCACTTTCGATACTGCATCCATGTCAGATTCTCCAAAAATACACTACTTTTGGAGAATCCGACATGCACCCGTCGACATTTTTGAAGAGTCTGAGCAATATAGATAAAAAGTATAAAATTCAATGCTATGAAACATTTCGATGCTGCAACAAAGGTTTTACTTTCATCACTTGTCTAATCCTACCTTTAATACCATCTTCTAATCTTGTACACAATTCTTCATCAAGCAAATCAATCTTCCCAGAAGATTCTAAAGCATCACGAACTAGTTTATAAGTATATTCTCTTGGAATCGAACCTTGTTCAGCCAATTCGACAAGAAGATCTCGTGCCTCCACCACCCTACCCGTTTCACACATAGCATGAATTATCGGTGTATACGAACTGTTACATGGTAGTACTACTCCATGATTCATTCCTTGCATTCTTCTCAGCATTTCAATAGCCTTATCAATCTCATTTGTAACACTATAATACCTAATGAAAGAATTATACGTAATTCGATTAGGCACAACCCCTCTTTTCACCATATCATCCAACAACTCCAATGCTCTCTCTATCCTATTAGTTTTGCAGCATCCATTGATCAAACTATTATAAGTTACTACATCAGGAACAAATCCTTTGAATAGCATGACGCGAAACAAGTGATTCGCCTCCCACATTCTCCGTCTAATAGCTTTTCTACAGCCGGTTTCCATACCATATCTACAATAAGAGCTAATCAAAATTGTGTAAGTAAAGACATCAGGTGGACACCTAAAACCAGGCAACTCCATTTGCTCCATCAAGAACTTAGCTTTTTTGAAATTCCCAACTCTACAAAGAGCAAATATGAGAGTGTTGTAAGCATAAACATCAGGCTTACAGTGAAATTGCTTCATTCTGTAGAAAGTAGTCAATGCTTCATTTACCAACCCTTCTTCTCCTAGGCATTTTATCAAACACGTAACAGTCGGTGTCGTCAAAAGCCCTCTTCTCGACATTCTTTTGAGAAATTCCCAAAGAAGCTTCGAATTACAAGACCCTTTGGCAAGAACAAGAGACATCTCTCTGCAAGTGAGCTCATTGTGAGTAAACCCACAATGGGTCTCAACCCAATAGAAAAATTCCAATGCTTTCTCTAATCCTAATTGTACCTTTTGAGGATCTCTATGAGCAGCTGGGCCAAGAATGAGTACTCCCTTCTGAGCGTTATGGAACTCTTGTTTTAGGTTTCTCTGCTTTAATGGGGTACGGTAGCGAAACCCATTTTGTCGGCCGATGGATCTTGGGGATTGGAAGAGGAATCTGGGGATTGATCTTAAGACTTGAGTAACTGTTTCTACAGTCCAAATGGGTTGGAGAATTGAAGCCTCAAATGACCGATTTCTGATAATAGCAGCCATAACTTGATCCATAACGAGGTTTTGGATGAAAGGAGAAGAAAGTGATCTTGATGGCAACATGATTCTGCAAAACAAAAAATATTCCAACTTTCATATTATATAATCAACAAAAAGCCATCACCATTGATCGCCATCAACACTAAATGAAATGAAATTAGTGGGTGTCAAAATCAAGCTCAATCCATTCAATCTGTTTAAGTTTAGATGAGTCAAAAATCGCTAATCTATTTCAGATCATTAAGTTTAGATGAGTCAAAAATCGCTAATCTATTTCAGATCATTAAGTTTAGATGAGTCAAAAATCGCTAATCATCCTGAATACATGTATCTACATCATTAAAAGATGCAGTGTCGAATGACGTCAGTACATATAATGTACAGTATGTAAAATAGCTGAATGAAACACTTGTTAGACGGAATATACTTAACTAAAAGAGTAACTCAGAAAAGAACTATAAAATAGATAACTGTAAAGTAAAGCATGCAAGTGTATGGAAATCAATAGAACATTACAACTTAGTCATATGCAATGATATCAAATGCTAAAATAGAATACTTTACTTTTCTTGGGGAGTTTCTCTAATAGACAATCATCACTATGAGCCTCGTAATGATACCACGTCTTGCCCACATTGTCAAAGCCATCTAATACATTGTCAGGATAAAGGACGAGATGAACTAATGGATCCAGTAACTAAACCCTTACCAGGGGCTTTATGAGGAGTTGCCTGAATCAACAATACGATCCTATCCTACACTGAGTGCAAAGTTATGGAGTTTGGATTATCTAACTCGTATCCAACTCGGTGCTCAATACTACTCTCAAAACATGCAAATATAGTTCCATTTTAGGAAAAGGCTGAGGGTCCCACCTTAGGGGAAATATTGTCTCGACTTACTATTCTGCATACTCTTTTATCAAAACACTGAATTTACTTTTAAAGCTGGTCCAGTTCCATGTGTAATCATTTAAAATTTATTAAATATAAATTTATAAAATGATTCGGATTATATTAAATTCATTAATATATTAGTCCAAATAAATATTATGATTGATATAATTGAGTTAATTATTTAAATTCAAAATATGAATTTAATTAAAGCCTGCTCCATAAAGCCCATATGCCATGTCACTTAAATCTGATTGGCCGAAGGAAATCCTATTCCAATCACAACTCCCTTATTTTAAAACTATAAATAGGGGTCTTCATAATTCAGAAAGAGAACAGAAGAAAATTCTAAACAAGAAGCTAGAGAAAATCCGTGGTACAAACGCCATAAAATTCTCTATAAAGCTACAAGTTTAAGAATTCAAGCATTTAAGTTCAAGAACGATCAAGATCAAGACTATCAGGTTCAAGAACAAGTTCGAAGCCCTTGAATTCAAGCAAAAGTCAAGATCAAGATAAAGTTCAAAGTTCAAATTCATCAAAGATTCAAGATCAAGCTTTAAAGCCCTTGAATCATATTTGAAAAAGGCGAATTCAGAGGAATCATAGAGATTGTAACACTCGCACTTTGAAATAATAAATACGATTGTTGCTATAATTTTCCGTTCTTGATTATTGTTTTCTCGACGCGAATTTTATTGTCTACACCATGTTTGTACACTTATTCAACACTTGGGGGAGTATAATCCCACCCATCTGCCCTGTTTGCACTTGAATACTAGGGTTCTACACTTATTTTAGTAACTGACGTGCAATTAGGTCATCCCAAATGAAGTTGTACATGCTATATTCTCAGCTTGCAGAAGTGGCAATTTTGACTCTTTCCGGCAAAGTTAGTTGACAAGGATGTGCGCTTATGTTTTCCTTTTTCTGCAGTGTCTTGTTGACGGAGCAGATGAGTATCTGCAACTTTTGAATGTTGCAAGCAGCACAATGCAAGCGCTTTAGCAACATGCCACAGGACATGACATTTTGAATTTGTATTCCTCGTACCAAAACTTGGCAAGTCACATTAATCGACGGCTTATGTATGCATCACATTGACTTATAGTTATAAGCAAAATTATATTGGCTGCATATTGTCTTTTCACAAGTCTTGCAACATAATTATTTAGACAACACCTCGAAATACTATTTGCTAAATAAATAAAAAATCATATGCAAATATCGTTTATCATTATCCCCCAACATCTTGAATTTAACCTCTTAATAATCCTATCAAATCAACAATTAAGAGGGAGAAGGTGTTATTTATTACTATATCTGTGTATGCGTTTAAGTCACAATTTTAGCTATTGTATAATCTTCTCAAGTTTGGCAAAACTTTGAACATGATCAACTTCCCATCTGTCCTATTATAACAAAACCAGTACTCCGTTATTTTCTACATTTTCTTGTTCAAAACTAGCAAAAGTCAATACATAAATGAGAGGTGATTTGTCCTTCTTGTATAAGTAATGTTTTTTCCACGGATACTTATCAAAAATATTTACGCAATTATATTAAATAATTATATTTAATTTATAATTTTATATACTCCCTTCGTTTGTATTTGTTTGTTCTAATAATTATTGGATTCTCTTTGGTCATAATTTTTTCAGTACTTTCTAAATATTTTGAATAGTTTATGACGTATTTAAAGGTACTAATATCTCATATCAAATCCAAACCCGAATATCATAATTCTAAAATTTTACTCCCAAATACCATATCAAATACACAATTATCAAATATCAAAAAATTTGATTCGATTAAGTAATTCAGTTTTCGATATTTCATATCCAGCCCTGTGCGTGAGCATGGATTATTTGAATTGTCAAAACAAGGGCCCACCAAACCCCACTCCTTGCGCCATTGATCATGCATCAAATCAATCTTCTTCTTCATCTTCACTATATATATAGAGAGCAAAAATTGTATTAGGAGGAAAATTACTTAGTGTAAGTTTCAGTCATTTTTGTCTAAAAAAATGGAAATTGAAGCGGATGAATCATTTAAGCAGGCCGGAGCTATTCCGTTCAAATGGGAAATCCGACCAGGAGTACCCAAGCTTCAACAACCATTAATCAAACAGGAAGTAGCCGAGAACAATCGGAGCCGTCCAATTCCAGAAACACCACGTAGGCTGAAACCTCCACCGGCGGCTGATTTCAATTTCCAACAACCAATTGAGGAGCCCCGAACTCGATCCTTCCGGTCAGCTCCACGGGCACGATCAGATAGGCATGTTTTGAATCTATTGACCCGACCCGCTGTGGGAGTTGCCTCAGATTGGTGCTTCCCGTCTCCATTGCTGAAGCGAGCAACAGAGAAGAATACGAAGATGAAGAAGAAGAGTCATAAGACTGGACCCGAACCCGATTACTTGTCGGATCTAGAGACAGTTTCTCAATGGTCAGTGTCTAGCCGAAAGTCAATTTCTCCTTTTTCATGATTCACTTTCCTCTTCGTTTTCGTCACGTGAGTCGTCGCCTCGACGACCAGTGAGCGATGTTGATTGGGTTGGCTTTGCTCTGTTTTAGAACCAACACATTATCTCTACATCTCCTTAAATAATTACTTCGTCTCAATTTATGTGATATAGTTTAAATTCGAGAATTAATCGATTTAAGTTTGATGGAATAATTAATCATTCTAGTTTAACTATGTGAATTGTGCATCATTGCAACGAGCAAAAAAAAAAGCTTCGAATAAATGAGTAATAATTTGGAATAGTATCTAAAATTTAAAAAATAGCACGTTGTTGTTTGTGTGGCTCCTCTGCAATTAGAGGCGTCCCAAATTTATATATGGCAAAGTCAACCTAACTCACTAACGAGTTTTTAAAAAGTCAACGATCTTTTGACTAACTTTTATTAATGGATGATTTTTTACATTATTATGTCAACTAAATGATAATTACAACGAATGCATAACAATTGAAATTAGTAACTTGAATATAAGGTAAAAGTTTGTACAACATGTTAAAATACGCTGATTATGCAATAATTTGGTACGTCATCACAATATATATAAGTTAAATTCCTTATGTTTTTACAAGATTAATATTAAAAAATGCTAAGTCGAATGGACTCTTCACTTTTGATGTTGCATCTGTATCAGATTGTCCAAAAATACACTACTTTTGGAGAATCTGACACGCACACATTTTTAAGTTTAGGCGTTTAACCTCTTTTTGTAACGGAAGATGACTCTCCTATCGGCAGGCTCTTTGTCTATGTAATTCAAAACCAACTTCAGAATAATGCTTCTCTACTAAAAGTTCTGATCTCATGATTTAAATTAGGAGTAATTAAGACTATATAATAAATTAGAAATTTATTTACTAATATTTAATTAATTAGATTATGATTTAGTGTAGAGGCAAAATAGTAATCTAACTTTTGCCTAACATTTTTCCCTCTTATAGTATAATATATATATGATAAATAAAAATAAAAATATAAACATGAGCAATGACTATATATACTAGATACAATAGTCCGTGCAAGCACGACCCAATATATGTTAATTTATTTGTCTCAATTCAATATTTTAAATTGTTAATTATTGTGATTTATTATACTTTTTATGTAAATATCAAATAATATATGTCACTCTTTGTCCCAATTTTATGCTAGCACGTATGAAATTTCGAGAGTCAACTAAATTTTTAATATGCTTTTAAATATTTTAAGTTGTTAATTATTGTGATTTGTAATACTATATTTTCGTATTTTTTAAATTCATAACATACTTAAAAAGAAAGTAAGATAAATAATTTAAAATGGAGAAGGTACTAAATATGAATCGAAGAAACTGAAGTAGAAAGACAAATTGGAGAATATTTTGATCGATACTAAGTAGCCCAATATATGTTACTCTATTTGTCTCAATTTATGTGGTCATCTTCTCATTTTTAAATAGATTAAGTTGTTAATTATTGTGATTTATTATATTTTTTTTTATCTAATTTAAAATAACATATTATTTATATTTATTACTATAATAACAACTAAAGTTTGAAGACACAAGAGAAAATTCAATTGGCTCTCAAATTTGGTAATTCCCAAAATAGCCTCTTGACCCTACGCTCCTTTAATTCCCTTCTATAATATAGTTAGAT